CATATTATTAATTATCTCCATTTCCACAGAGTGGAGTAGCCAGCTGAGGGTGAGAGCCATTGCACAGTCTCTCTACAGCCCACCAGAGAACTGGAGCCTTTGCCATGTGTAGGCAAAGGGAATGGAGGGACAAAATAAGGCACAAGCAGCCTTGTTGTTGCGTGGGATGAGAGTTCCACATTAGCACCATAACTGTATTTTCCGTTGGTTTCCTCATTTAAAGCAAGGCTGGAGGCATCAAGGATACCAGTTTGGAGGGAATGGCCTCTTCCCAAGGGAAAGAACATTGAGTGTGAGCAGCAGCCGTGCTCCCCAGAGCTCCCTGTGTCAGCATCTCCTCCTTGACTCTTCCTCCTTGCAATTTTTACCTCCAAAGCCTTGCAAATTATGAGAGAGCAAATAGTCCATGAATGCCAGTGTTCCTAGCTGCTCTCTTCTCCATCTACTTCTAAGCCAGGGGGAGAGCAGGGACCAAGCTCTTTCTCACCCTTTGGACCAGAACGGGACTTGTGCAAACTCCTCTGTCCTTCCCAACTGCTCCTCACATCCAAACAGGACTATTCCCTGCATTTATTTTGGTTTGCTTAATATGTGCAACAGAGGGAACGTTATTGCCACTGTAAGTCCCAGATATCCACTGCAAGTCCCAGATATCCACTGCAAAGAGTCGGGAATCAGGATGGGAGAACTGATGCTGACTCAAGGTGGGAGATAGCCTGCCTGCAGTCTAGGAGGATCCACAGCCTGGCACCCCTACACTGGCTGAGCACAGGGTGCCTTGAGGTGGTGGATGCCTTGGGGCAACAACCCCATCCTCTCTGTCATGGGTCTCAGACATGTTATGTGAAAAAGGGTTGCAGGCAGGAAAGGAGCACAACTTTCTACTGCCCTCTCCTATGGCATTTTTGGAGAGCAGGAGCAGCACACATGTGCCTTAAACCCCAATGATTAACCTGAATGTGGTTAATCATGACGGAGAGGAGACACAGGTTCTCCTCATGTCGAGTTCCCTTGTGGGGCTGGTGGCAGCTGCCCTCCCTGCAGGGACACCAGCGTGTCCCACTGTGCACAGGAATGCACCAGGGCAGCACACCTGGCACCACAATGCTCCTGAGAAATTTCTTTCATTATCCTTTACTTCTGTAAGAAAAAACACATTCCCCTTGTCTGCAGGAGAAAAAAAAAAGCAGCAGACATTTTCATATCCCTCTGCTCAAGCCTCCGGAGGATATGTACACATATGATTTCAGAGATGACTGTAAATTGTTTTGTAAAGTAGCACTTCTCTGACTTTCTTTGCAATGTTCTTTTGTTCTGCCTAAAACAAACATGTCCTCTGCTGGTAAGTGTTTAAAATAATAGCTTGTTCCTTTTCTCCCCCTTTTGCAATGCCGTTTTTCTGTTTGGTTTCCTCCCATCATTCACATTTTAGTTTTCATTTCACATTTTAGTTTTAGTACCTTCGAGGAACATTCACGTTTGGGTGCTGTTCGCCTGGAGAGAGTCTTCCCTGGAACAGCTCTGAGTGCCACTGCTCTGCTAGAAAGACCTCTCTTATGGAAAGCTGATTACCCAGGCTTCATCCCTGCAGGCAGTCTGCTGGGAAAATGCACCCTTTATGCCCAGGACTCTTGTTAATTTAATTAATTTTGTATTGTTTGAGTGCTTTTTTCAAAAGCTGACTTTCTACAAACATGCACTATACAGCTGTGGTAATACACAAATGGCTTAATCATGCATCTGACAGTTTATTCTGCAGAACGTGCTTTCTGCACCTAAGTGATCAGATAGACCACTTACGGATACCAGAATTTAGATACCTAATCTCTTCTGACAACCAAACCCAGAATTAAATGGTGTTCACTGAGAGCCAAAGAGGAGAACAATGGCACTTGCCAGCCCTCATTCCCATCTCAGCGTGCCACACACACTTCAGCCTTCGCCTGGCTTTAGTCCATGCTCCAGATGACAGGTCACTCAAGACAATAGAAACCGGCTCTGGACAAAATAGGGCATTTGTAGTTGTTGTTTCACATATTTTACATAATACATTTACACAAAAGGCAACACCCACCTGCTCCCCTCAACCCCCTTTTTGGCCCTTGAGTGACTGTCTTGACTGGCCCTTGAGTGACTCCTTGAGGACAAGCACTCATCTGGGAGCTGCACTCCTGCTTCCATTACGCTCCTGGACTACAGAGTCTCTTTTCGCTTGGCCAGAAGCTCTGAATGTTTCTACAGAAATGTCAAACCATGGAGTGTCCAGAAACCATAAATACTGAGGGACTCTCTGTAAGTAGGCAGGGTGCTCTAATGGCTTAGGCTCGAGAATATCTCTTTTGTATTCTTGATTGCGTCACTGATTTACTGACAAACTCTGTCTAGTTATTC